GTGTGTGTGTGTGTGTGTGTGTGTGTGTGTGTGTGTGTGTGTGTGCATTCCTCAGAGATGGCTGCAAACAGCTCTCCTGTTGCAGCTTGTATTTATGATAGGCGAAACACACCCACACATAAAATATTCCTCTCTTCTTAGTCAGTTTGCTGCAACGCTGCTTTAACGATAGTGATGCTATTGACCAACAGGTGAATCCACAAGTGTGTGTGTGTGTGTCTTTGACCTACAACAGACTGCAGCTGTGGCACAGGGAACATTTCCAAAGAGACTGCCTGTAAGGAACCTGTGTGAAGCTGTGGGGGACAGTGACTGAAATGTTCGCAGCATCTCATCCATCCATTTGTTTTCTTCTGCTTATCTGAGATAAATCAGAGGCTCATCAGGGTAGTCCAAACATCCATCTCTTCCCGTGGGATTCTGAAGCGTTCCCAGGCCAGATGGGATATGTAGTTCCCCCCCAGCGAGTTCTGGGTCTACCCCTGGGTCTCCTCCTGGTTGAGTGTTCCTGATAAACCGCTTATGGAAGCTGCCAAGGAGGCATCATGATTAGTCGCCCAAACCACTTCAACTGTCGCTTTTCGACGTGAAGGAGGAGCGGCTCTACTCTGAGCTCCTTCCGGATGTCCGAACTCCTCACGCTACCTGAGCTGAGCCACATAGAGAGAAAACTAAATTCAGCGGCTTGTATTTGCGATCTCTCACTGGAGTTCACGTTTGTCTAATTGTGTCTCTGACAGTTACCATGTTTTTTCCTCACTGACACTGAGGCCCAGCCATATTGGTCACAGGGTCATTGGCTGAGCCCGTCTGTCCGTCCGTCACTTGTGCTGTAGAACAAGCTGACGCGACATTTGCATATTGTTGGTTGCAAACGAGACATTGAATCTAGTTAACGTCCAAGTCGCAGTTCGCAGTTTGACACATCGCCGCCCTCGGGCAGCAGCTGGTCGACATAGGATTTGTTGCTTTCAGTTCACATTCATTTTTCTCCTGTCGTCGCTTCGTTCACGCCGAAGTGAATGTGGGAGAAATATGGCAAGTCTGCAACATTTGGTTAATGAAGTCTGGACGGTTTTCTCTTCATCCTCGACGTTAACTGGATCATTGTTGTGGGTCAGTTTTTAACTCAAAGCCGTGGTTAATGTGATGGTGTCACTATTTTCTTGACCCTGTGTTACATTTTACCTCGCTGTTGTTTCAGCGTGCCGTGGCTTGCAGACACGCAGCGTTCATTACCTCTGGAATGACTGGCATGTTAGTGCAGTCCAGGAAGTGTGCGTTAGTGCGACGCTGCACACTTGAAATCGGTGGTGGAGGGATGACATCACTGTTACAGATATTTGTCTCTCTCTTTCTTTTTTGAAGCTGAAGCTGTGACAGTTTGGGGCTTTTCAATGCATTGGTTTTTTGTCAGTGCTCTGAAATATTCTTGTTAAAATAACAGCACATCGTTCTGCTCCTGCAGCGAGGAAATAAAGCTTTGTTCCTCACTGGCTCACACACACACACACACACACACACACACACACACACACACACATGTTTTTTCCTTTTAGCCTCCAAAGAATGCATCAGCCACACAGGAAAAGGAAACCGTAAGGCTCATGGTGAACAGCCACGATCGTCAAGTGTCAGTCAAGACGATTTCATCTTGAGTCCTTGTAAAGGAACAAAAATCTCAAACGTAGAGATTCACATAAGCTGCAAAAGACAATTCTGAGTAGAAAAAGTGTTCTCAAATTTATCTGGGACCAGTGTCTTGTTCCATATTTGCTTGTGTTTTACATGTTTTAGCAAACAAGCTAAAGAAACCTGTAGTGTTCCACTTGTTTCAGCTTGCTGTTGATTTTCTATTCTTGGAGCCCTCCACCCGTGGAGACGCTTGTTTCTTCAGGAATATCATTCGTTCCTTTGTGCTGATGGAGGTTTTGCAATCATGGCGTACTGTGCAGTTTATTTCACTTTGAGTGGAGATTTTAACCTGATTATGTTGCAACAAGTGAGTTCATTTTGAATATAGCTCACTCTTAATTCCCCGGAAACAGTTAATGAAGTGAGTCACTTTCTGTCATCACCTCACCACTTCATCTTCCTCGCTCTTCAACCTCTTTTCATCCCTCTCTCCCCTCTTCAACTACTCTTTCTCATTCTTCTTGCTACAATTCGCTCTTTTTTTCCTCCTCTCTTGTCGCTCTTTTCAGGAAACGCTGCACGCCGTTCTCCAGCCACTCTTCCCCCATTTACTGCCTCCTCCATTCACTCCTCTTTCCACTTTTAACAATCTGGTTTCGCTCCCTCCACTTCCCTCACTCCCACTTCTCTCCATCTATTCGCCAACTATTCTTCCCCTACCTCGTTCTGTCTCCGCGGCTGGCTAACGGAGC